CTGACATATTTATTTGGAAACCATTTCACTGTCCATTCAGTTCAAACCATTACCTTATTCTGCATGTCTTAGTTTATTAATAGTATCACACAGTATGTTTACAGCCGTCTGTGCTGGACTAACTTGGGTTAGTACTGACTGTGACGTCTGTTAATAGGATGTACTGACGTGAAGCATCCTTATCTTCATTACTGTGTAAATGTGACAATATATAACTGGATGGTGTGCAGGACGGACTTGTGCTGGCTGCTGATCATGCTCCTGTGTCAATCCAGTATTGTACTTTTGTTCTCCAAACTGATGGGGCAGAAAAACAGGAAACTGACTTTCCTGTGCACTGAAGGCAGCGGGGCAGGAGGCCGCTGGGTCAACACAGTGCGGTCGGTATATGTAAAGGCGCCAGTGCCCTCCATAACTGCCAGTAAAGCCAAACATCCACTGCTGACATCACTCTGTTCTTTCAAATGGAAACTGTTTCTTTAAGTATGCCAAGCAGTGGAAAACAACCACAGTCAGCACAAATAACACATGACAGACACATCATTTAGTTGCACTACTAATGTGTTGCAAAACTGTTTGTGTGTGTGTGTGTGTGTGTGTGCGTGGTTGTGTTGTTTTTGGCCTTATCATTCATTTGTTTATCAGTTGGATATAATGTGTCTTTTGTTTGTCATTCGCACCGTGGCCATGTGTCCACTATCAGTAGCACTGATCAGCAGTGTGCTGCATTCTTCACTAAATCTCACAATCCTTGCCCTTTGTCCACTCACATGGCAAGGGGAAAGTGCACATACCCACTCCGTGTTTTACTATTCATCCTGCAACGCTGTGCTTGCTTGTTTCTACTTATTCCTGGCTATTTGTAATTTGCTGATATTTAATGCTTTCACCCCCTCCCCTCCAACACTCTCAGACTATTGGAAGCAGAGCAAAATAAATGGTCTGTGTCCTCCAGCCTTGCATAGCCAGTTGCACGATCACATGAGCACCACAGGGACGATGTTGTGTGTTCAGGGTGACTTAGTGGTGGTGTACTTGGGGCTACACAATCAGTTCCAGAGTTTATATTTAACTAAGCACGCAAAAGAAACAGGAAAAAAAAATGGCAGACCAAAGCACTGCCGGCTTGGCGTTTATTATCACTGCACACACAGATATGCATAACAGAGATACATAGCCCAGAAAGAGAATGACAAGAGGTCACTGCTGTGCCTTTTTGTTTTGTTTTGTTTTTGTAGTGTCATGCAGCACGCCAGGATAAATATTTCACACTTCCAGGCATCACTCTGGACATTTCCCACATTCAGTGGACTTGTTGAGCAGGCCTGTGAAAAAAACAGGAGCTTTGTAATGAAGATGAGTGATTTGTCAGGTATGTGCTGAACAATACAAAGAGAGAAAAAAAAAAACCCCAAAACAAAGCAGGTGATTACTCAGTCATCTAAACGTCTGACATCATTAGTGGTGCAGCAAGACAAGCTGGTGAGACTGGTGTTGTAGAATGGGAAGAGAGAAAGTATTTATTATTGTGCATCTGGTACTCTAACTACGAAGAATGTTGTAATCGTGCAACAGGTTTGAATAGTTTTGAGAAGATAGATTGAGGATATATTTATAACCTGACCTCTTTTCGGTTTAGTCCTCTGTGGGATCCTGTTTCCAGATTCTGACAGAAAGAGGAAGTTTTTTTATGCATGAGGGTGAGAGAGGGGAAGAAACAGAGAGAGAGAGAGAAAAGGAGGCCCTACGACTGCCCCAAAGTAAATGTAGGAGGAGTTACAGGGGAAAAAACTTCCTCGGTCAGTGGCACGCTGTTTCGGATCGCCTTTGAAGCGACAGGCACGCACACAAACCCACGCATACACCCACATTCTCACTCACTTCCACACTTTTTCCGCTGTTTCCTTTGCTTTCACCCGCGGAGATTGACAGCACACTGAGGCGCTGTCATGACGCGCAGCTCACCGGTTACCGCTCACGGTACATTCATTAGATATGTTCTGCCACGCACACCAGGAATGAACTGAAAAGACAGAGCTGGCACCAACAGAGAGGTAAGAATGTGCTTTTAGCTGATCTTTAAGTTTCGTGGTGTTATAAACTTTATTCCGTTGGGCAGTCGCTGCTGTACTTTGTACCATGAGGCTGTTGTCAGTCTCTAGTGAAAACGGTAAACAGTTTTCTGAACGTTTGAATGAGCAGTGGCTGCCAAGTAGTGATTTCAGTTCCTCGGTTTCACTAATCGTTTGACAGTAAATAGTTACAGATTCTTCCAAAAGGTCAGAAAACTCAATTAAGCGGCAATCCAAAGGCTTCTTAGAATCAGACTGTAATGAACTGTGGAAATTATCCACCACATTTTGCAGTGATCCACCACAGTGTGTGTTTAAGGGATCCAAATGTCTCTGTGTAACTGTGGGAATCTCCCTGCAGGGAGCTCTCTCCGTCCCAGACACACAGACATGTGAGTGAGTTAACAGGGGGTTATAGTCTAAACTTAGAGCTCATAACCCCTGTCTCACATTTCTCTCTGCTAACTCCTCTCCCACATGTTTGCCGTCTACCAGCCTACGTTGTACACCCAGAGACACCTCACCTCAAACATCTCCTGCATAGTCATGCAGTTGGACGCAGCCACACACACAGCTGATCACACCATATGTCTCTCATTATGCTAGATGTTATTGTCATGGCCCACAGAGTGTCACAATAGTGTACCAGGCTGTGGCTGTGGCTTCAGACTGTGTGGAGACTGGGAGGTTGTTTAAGGTATGTGGTCATTAGTTACAACAGCCCCTGTTATTACAAGCAATGCATGATGTGTCTGAGGCTTAACAAGTCAGCAATCAAGCATTGTTTATAAGAGACTTTAGTGAAGTGTTGTGACAGCCTCACTCAGAAGAAGGGTTTGGAACACTGCCGCTTAGAGGAAACAATAGTTTTATCTAAAGGTGTTTGGTAAAGAGGATTTACGTGACTTGTATAATCAAATTACCTTTTTTATTGATAGTATCTATGGTTTTATGGAGACAGCTGCAGTTAGCTTTTGATGCTAACAACGGCCTGTGCATGTGACTGCACATATGAGCTTGGAGACCAGTCTGCGTTTATTAGATTGGATATTTGTTGAACAATGGCAAACAAGCAGGGCTGTACAGAGAGCGTCAGGATATTCCCTGCTATGGCTCCTGCTTGTTTACAGCTTTCTGTCTCACCAGGCACGCAGATTCAGTCATGAAGAAGAGGAGACCAGTTACAGACAAGAATATCAGGCCTCTGCATCGCCTAATTTTGCGGAAGCACTTGTTTTCCAACATCAGTGATTGCATCTGATGGTAGCTGACACGAGGCGTGTAAGGCATCAGCTGTTTCTATCACCTCATTACATCAATTGGCCCCTCCATCTCGGTTAACGGCGTAATCTGCAATTTGCTGTGTCTGCCGGCAGTCATCAGATACGTTTTCAAAGTTTAACTTGGATACTGTTCGGGTACAAAAACAAAATGCATAATTCTACTCAGGTTTACTCTCCATATAAGCTTATTTTTACGGCATGTGATGTTTGTGTCATCAATTCAACACTTTTTGGTAGTTTTATTCACTTTCCATTTAAAGTGTTGGAATAGATAAGTATAGATATGTGCACATTGATTTTGTGGGAAACACCCTTTGCTGTAAAACCTACTGTAGTATTTCAGTTTCAGTAATTTTTAAATTAATGTAAAGTCCCTGTAAAGACTTCTCTACCTCCTATCTGATAATACACAGTGATCAACCACAGCTGACCAGATCGACTGGTCAGCTGTGGTTGATCTGTGTGGAATCTGCATCTTCTCCATGTCCCTGTGTGATTTGTTCTGGTAGAGCCTGACCCATTTATTGGTCATTAAGAGTGTTCACGTTGCATAGTTTTTCCACCAGAAGGCACTCTGCAAGTTTCCTTTTGGGAACACACATTTGGAACGCCACAAAAAACCAATAACAGCTGATCTGAGTAGAGTCGTGCAGAACGTTAGTGGGTAACTACAGGTAACAAATGTTAGGGAAATGTATGCTTCAGTGTCTGAACGAGCAAAAAAACAAACAAACCCTGATATATCAGGATTCAATCTTATCATTATTGATCTTAAACATATTATATCAGTCGGGTTTGACTCTGAGCACACTGGCCTCATACCACAGTCCAGAGACGTGCATATTTAGGTGATCTGGTGATTCTAAATTGGTTGTGAATGGGACTGTCAATAGTTGTCTGTTTCTTTGTATTAGCCCTGTGATGGACTGCCAACATAGGCCCCAGCCGTGTCTGCCCCTGAATTGGATAAGTGGTTAAGAAAATGGATGAGAGAGATTAAAAATAGGAAAGTGATTAGTTACCATTAAGCTTTTATGTTTAGCAGTTATAATTGACATAAACACTGTCAATTATAACTACTTCTGTCTATACTCTGCATGTTGAAGAGAAAATCATAGTATGGGTAACTGTGTTTTTTATATATGTTTTAAGAATGGAGAGAATTTCACATTCTCAATGGAGCCATTGTTGTATTATTTACCGTGTCCCTCTCTGATGGTAATGGGTCGCCTAAGGTCAATTATTCTAATTTTCCCCTCCCTTTGATGCGCTTAATTATCAGGGGTGTCTCATAAGTGAGAACAATGGCGTCTATCACGATCTTCTCACCACGCCATCTCTATTTTCAGCATTCAGCCTTTTTTTTTCTCAGTGACCTCACACTGTAGAAAGAGGCTTTTCTGTGGTGCTCTTGTCATATCACTTTGCCATCTGATGGTAGAAAGCTGAGTTGGGTTAAACTCTGTGTTGGAGATGAACTGATCCTCAACCTGTGTCACCAGGAAACTCTTACCCCCACTTAGCACTGACCTTGCAGCCTGTCCCTCTATGGAATCACCTTACTGTGTATCAGCAATACGTTATCCCAGCAACAAACGCGCACGCGCGCGCGCGCGCGCACACACACACACACACACACACACACACACACACACACACACACACATTGTCTATGTGACACACATTCTGTGCATATTTTCACTGACACACACAACACATAAGAACGCTATCACTGAGGCCTGCCCCCCCAACCCCTACACACTCATACCAATCGCAGAGAGTGCTTTGTGCATTCACTGACTGGCTGGGCAGTTACTGGAGAGAGAGAGCAAGACTGGTGGGAGGGGGAAGATGGAGACAGCAAGACACAGAAATATTAGAAAGAGAAGCAGACAGATAGAGAAGAAGGAGAAATTAATACTGGGGGGGGGACATTAGAGACAGATCCTAACTGGTGGGAAGACAGACTGAGCAGGGCAGGAAGGAGAGTACAGAAATAGGAAGGGAGCCGGGAATTGTCCAGTAGAGAGGAAGACAGGGAGTTGTTGTTGTTAAAGAGACTGAGAGGAACTGATGGGATGGCATTGATCTCTGGGAGCTGCCGACTCCTGGGCCAGATGGCGTCTTGTTGCTGCAGACCTCTCCTCAGCTCCTCCTGTTGCGGACCGCTCATCAAACTGTGCCTCTCCTCATTCACAGGTCGGTCCCACTCCGTTCTCTGTGCTCTGCTGCCATGAGCAACTGCTACAGTCATATAGGCAGGAGCAGTAATCAGTATACAACATGGGTAATACACTTAGCCAAGAAGGTAAAAAAAAACAAAAACAAATAAAAAGGGGGGAGGCATGGTGTGTTTCTGCACTGTGACTGCATGACTTTGCTTGTGTTGACTCAAGCAGTCCCAGTGGTGCTAACTGTCCTCCGTGTTGTAGAATGGAAAGAATAGGCTTTTGTCCTCTTAGGCATAATGTCATGTTGCATACTGTGTTACTAAATTGTGTGCTCCCATTGTTTTGTGAATGCTTTGCATCAAGATAATGATGTTCTTTTGTGGTTCTGCACTGACAACACATGTAAAAAGTGGAATTCTAATCTGAATTATTACAGTTTTTTTTTTCCTTTTTAAAATTTAAATCGCGTCTGATGTTGTGACCACGGTGACATAAATGTGTGCTCTGAGGAGTCAGGGGCAGAGGAGCTGAGTGTGTGTGTATGAGTAAGCCTGGAGGTCTTAATGATGTCAGTGCAGTTGTGTGTCCGTGCTCGGCCTGTGTGTGTTTAACGTCCGTGTATACCCTTAACAACTCCTCAAACTAACGAAAAAGCTCAAGTATGCCTCCGTCTCCCTAAGTGATGTCAGCACTCTCCCCACCCAGAAACATATTTGTTTAAAAAAACCAGAAGATTCTTCTCTTCCATCTGTAAGGTAAAGCTACACCCAGGAGGATCTTGACTTAAAGACTAAAAATATATTAAAGGACTAAAAGCAAATATTAAACTCAACTCATATATTTTTGTTTTGTTGAGTTTGCAAACCCTCCTTAATGAACCTTGATATGAATAAAATAACTTCCTGGATTCTTTGCTGGTTACTTTTTAACACTTCCTGCCAGGAAATGGTCTACCTTATAAGTATTCAAAAAGGTGATTAATGAGGATCGTAATGAGATTTGGGGTACTGATAAGCAACATTTGTTTGATTTATTTTATTTTTTTTTAAAGATAGGTTAGCTAATTGCTAAGTGACTGCTGGCTGTAGCTTTGTATTAACCAGTAGATGCAGGAGTGGTGGATCAAAGAAAATACATTATGCATGTATCCCCAAATTTTTAGACTATTACTGTTGTGATATTTAACGCTGTATTGCTTAGGATCATAGAAACAATTCAATTTTTTCAGTATTGTCATTGCTTTTCTTTTTCCAGACATCTCTCCTGCCGAACTGGATGCTCTATGGAGGGAACCGCCATATACTCTCGGTGGAGCTAATGAACACTTCCCAGGAAATGACATCATGACTCAAGGTGTGTTAGCTATGTTGCACCAAACAGCCGGATGTTTGGAATCAGTTTGAAATCATAACATTATTAAGTGCCCGATTAGTTTAGAGTACAAATAAGTCATCAGCATTCATGTGAGAAGGAGCGGTGCTGCTTGCGCCGTGTTCAAGCAGAGGAAGTGTTTGGGATATCCTCCCTGCACAATGGAACAAACCAGGGACAGCCCGTATCAACTTTCCTGAAAAAAAAAAAAAAGCGTGTGCATTCAGCTTGCTGCAGGTTTAGAAATGATTAAGATCCTGTTTACTTAAATGGCTGGCACAGAAAAAGTGCTAGAGTAATTGGTGATATGTCTAAAGCTGTAATCTACTAAAGTATGTAGCAAATGAGTTTAAACTGAGCATAAAATGAAAAACTTGACAAACAAACACTTCTTACAACATCCGGCTCTGGAAGATAGGATGGGTGGTGTCAGTTGACGGACTACTGTGGATTTTTGTGGATATATTAGAAAGAAAGTCTAGAAACTACTTTTAAATTCATGAGTTCATCCTGTTCAAATACAGACTGCAGCGTGTTGTTTTTGTAAATAGCAAAGAGCGATTGCTATCTTGTGTCATCTGGTAACATTCCCAGTTTAATCTCCATGCCAGTCTGGAACATGCATTGCAGTAGCAATCTACTCTTAAAGCCCTTGTGTTGTCTGTTTTGATAAAATAGTTTCCACATACAACATCCACGTCTCGATTACACCTCAAATGTGAAAATGCTGTTTAGGAAACACTGCCTTAACCAAAAGTACGCTGAGTTTCCTCTCCTCATTTTCTTCTTGTTTAAATTTTAAGATCTAAACTATATTCAGGAACTGTTTCATGACTTTATTTCCTCTTTCAGGTGCTGGTGAAGAGGAGGATGTTGCAATAGTAATATCAGGTGAAGGTACGGTGGAGCCTGACAGTTACTGGAAGAAGAGGAAGGAGGCCTTCCTTAGAGGAAGTACCGTGTCACTGGGAGACAAATTCTCTTCAGGTACACTTTGTGGCGCTTTTACTCGAATTATTTGCCTGGATTGTTTTGCCTTATTACTGGAAAACCTGCTTTCGTATAAGCTTTGCTAAACTAATTTCATACACAGGATCGTTTCCCATGCATATTATATTTATGCATACTGATGAACAACATTCCCCGTCTGCTAATGTTTTACTCACTCAGCATTTTAACTTCATCCATCATCCATCATTTTCCCTCAGGTTCTTCCTCTCAAATGGATTTAAATGGCCACACTGAGTGTCCAGTAAAAGGCCTAATAGCTTTGTTATTCCTCTGAGGAATCACATTGTGCTCACAAAGCATCTTCCTGAAATATAAGCTCTCAGAGAAAATATTTGACAAAATCTTGCTTTTTTTTTTTTTTTTTTTTTTTTGATGAAAATGATGTGTTTTTATTCCGGTTTCGGTTTTATGTTTTACTTTTTTGGAGATACTCTGAATAGTGGAACAAAAGGATTTAAAATGCCCTCCATATTTATTCCTGGTTAGCTGTAGCTCAGGTAGAGTGGGTGATGTACTAACTGGAAGGTTGGTGGTTTGATTCCTGGCTGCTCCAATCTGTGCTGTAAAGTATTTTGGGGCAAGATACTGAACCTTAAGTGTTCCAGTGCATTCATCACAATGCGAATGTGCGTGAATGGGTGAAGGAAACATGTTATATAAAGCACTTTGAGTACAATATAAGTGAAGTAGAAAAGGCTAATTCTTTATATTCCTCATATTTCACTGCTATAACCAATTTGAACTCAGTGTTGATAACCCCAGAGCGCATTTTGTCCTCTTGCTAGAAATCGTGCTACTGTTCACCGGACGACGGCGTTCCAGTGCAGATTCTGACCGGACCCTCCAGGAGGCGCTACGCACACGACTCCGAGTGGTGGAGAGCAACAGCCAGGACGTCATACAGCTCTTCAAAGTGAGTCCCTATGATGAAGACGACACACAAGCTTCCCTACACTTCTAAACTGTCTGATATAATAATGAAAAAGTAGTATGTTTTTACCATATAATGATTTCATATTACGCAGTATTATATACTGTACATGTAATGTGCACTTTATAGAGATGGCTTAATGACTTTTTACTGTAACGTGAGACTTTGTTTCTGCAGGACTTGTCTGCACGTCTGGTCTCTGTCCACGCTGAGAAGGATAGCTTTGTACTCACATTCAAAACTGTAGAGGAAATCTGGAAGTTTTCAACATACCTTGCACTAGGTAGGACTAATAAGCAACCTTCTGGATGACATTTCAATGTCTGTATTCTCTCTTTTTCGTCTTTGTTGTGCCATCATCACAGTAATAGTACTGGTTGGCATGAGTATAAGCAGTAGTATTTCATCTGGTGTTGCATGTGCTCTTGCCCAGGCTATGTGGCTCGTTGCTTGGAAAACTTCCTCTGCGATCCGTCATTCTGGTTGGACCCAGAGCTGCTCAATGACTTGCAGATCAGTGTGACGGTGGATGAGGAACATCTGGCCACACTGTACCTTGGACTTTTACTCCAGGAAGGTCAGTAGTGTTGTAAGCGCAGTAATTCATGTCACTGAAATGTAAGGGTTTGTTTTATCAGGCCTGGCATTGCACAGGGATAACATGTGGAGGGAAAAGGTTAAGCATCTGTAAATAGAAATGAGATCCTGTCAGTAAATCAGTGATCCGAAGTCTATACTTTAGACTCTAAAGCTGCTGCCTGTATTTCAAAATGTTAATCTATTGATTCATAATGAGATTTAAAAAAGAAAGATAAAGTCAAATGAGTCATTGTCAGAGTAAGCTTGAACTTAAGTAGTTAATTATAGGATGTTAACTGAGTTCACTGTGATTTGATCCCATTATTTCTAATCCATTTCTTTGTGACCCCAATTAAGACTTGAATGAACAGGTTGCCTCACATAGCTTAAGTAAAATTGTAGAACAGACCCACCTCATATGTAGTGGAAGCACTTTTGTGCTGTGCGGAAACTAATTTAGAAACTACGATACACTTTTAATCAAGTCAACATTATAATCACACTTTTATTCATATCAGGTTTATAGAGTTACTGTTAAACCAAAATCCCAAATTTGATCTGCTGTTTGAATGCATTAGACAACGACATGAAGTACAACTTACTGTGCTGTTCTCCTCCATGAATGTGTATCGATTCCCTCCTGCCGGGGCGGCACAGACATCCCTTCTTTCTCTTGAACATATCCTTCAGGCAAAATGCATCATGGGAATGCATAATAGGACTGCAATGCTGGCAAATAGTGGTGAAAATTACATTAACTTAATGGGCCAGGTTATAAAACATCCATCTTTTCCCAGTGACTGAATGAGGGCGCAGCAACTCTGGCAATTTTGCTGATTTTGAACTTAAGTGCAGTAACGTTTACCAGCATCATAAGCAATGACTAAAGACGGGTTTTGTGTTTCTTTGTGTTTCGGGCGGGGGAATAGCGAAGCTGATTCTCTCTACTAAAAATCAGTCTCCTTCCAGGATCCTGCTTTGCTAAGGCGCTGTTCACCAGAGCCGACAATGACGAGGATGAGGAGCAGCTGTCGTTCCAAAAGAATGACCTCTTGGTGGTGAGGGACACGGGGCAGGACGACATGTGGGAGGGCACCTTGCTCACCACAGGAAACCATGGCATGGTGCCCGTCACTGCCATGCAGCCCCTGCCCTACCCGTTCTATCAGTAAGTTGCTATCTGTTCCTCAAATTGACCACTTCACCTATGTGGAGTACAGTATTTGTTAAATTATACTTCCTGTTTGGTCAGGTGGTTCCTGAAGAAGTACCCAGTCTATGCTGGATGCTCACAAACAGAAAGGGAACCATTTGAGCATCCTATCGGTAAAGCTTTGCTATCACATACAGCATACTGTAACCACAGTGCCTGTTGAAATGTAACTGCGTAACTAACTGATATACCCTCAAATTCCTAATCAGTGTGCTTAAAAGTGTTGTTTCTTTTGCCCTTCACCTCATTAAATGCCTCAGTGACTGGCTCCTGTGTGGCAGTAGCTGACTACAGCCCAGTGGGACCAGATGAGCTCCCGCTCAGCCAAGGTGACGTTGTGGAGATCCAGGGTCTGTTGCTCCGAAGCCTGGGTGTTTTCATAGGACGACACACTTCAACTGGATGCCGCGGCTTTGTTCAAATAGCTCACGTCAAGCCTCTCAATACTGCACCCTTGTAAGAAAGTCTTTTTTTTTTTCTTTTTTTTTTTTTTTGTAAATCCAGGCAGTGGCTTAAACTAGCTGGTCTCATTGTAACATGTTTCACGCTTCACCTGAAAATCACTTTATCGCAATACCATCTACATTCCTTATGTCTTGTTTACAGTCTTCTGCTAATCTTTTATGAAATCCTATTTCGAGGATTCACAGTCTGGACAGGGCGGATCAGGTGATGAGGCCTGGATAATCATAATGCTGCCTTTGTTTCCGTTACACAGAGATGGACAATTGGTCTTTCTAACCGAGGAGGAGAAAGCCAGCCTTGCTCAGGTTAACCCTTGCAGTTCTGAGCTGAGCGACAGCGGCCTGCTGGAAAGGCTTTTCTCGACTGACATCAGCTCCGTTTACAGGCTAGGTAAAGGAATGACTGGGCTCGCTGAGAAATGTTGCACTTTTAATTAGCTAGGGGAAAAGGGAGGGATCGTGTCATCGAGGCATAACTGAAATACAAGTCATGTTTGTTTCCTAAATAGCGGCGGTATTTTGTAATTTATTCTGGGAAAGATAGTTTCCATCTGTGCTTCCAGCTGGAAAATCAATGCTGAATTGATTTACCTTGTGTGTTTCCAGATAGGCTGGATGAAACCGACTTCATGTACATTAGGAGTCGGCCAAAACATGGTAATGACTTTTTAAGAAGAAACCAGACGTTTACGATGCTGATGCCTTTGAGCAGCTTGAGAAAGGATTTATGATTATACCTGTCGTCTTTACAGATCTTAAAGGCCTTACGAGCGCTCGTCAAAGCATCATGTCAGAGAGAAGTGGAGTCACACCCACCCACCAGTCGTCCCCTCGCCAATCGCTCTCTCGCTCCTCTCCTCATCTGTCCCTCTGTCACTCTCTCAACCCTCTGCCACGAGAGGGAGAGCGCCTATCCTTCACCCTGGATGACACATTCAGAGAACTGGACGAGTTCCAGGAAGATCCTCCTCTTTTCTTGGAAGAGAACAGCTGGGATGGGGAGGAGTCAGAGAGCAGTGACCCTACACTGACTCTACTCAACCAGGAACACTTCCAGGTCTGCCTCATTTATTACATTACTCAAGTCTTTCTTTCTTAGCCATGTTGAGCTTCCTGTGTCTGACTTTCATTAGGACATTTGCCCTCCTGTTAACTCTGTTAATGCCTAAAATAACTCTAAAACCCTTTGTTTGTTGTTTTTTTACCCCCAGGATGCTTTCTTGCCCCTGTATGACCTGCAGTATTCCTTCCTGTGGGTGACTTTCAGCGGCAAGACTGAGGACGAGCTGTCAGGTCACCTTGAGAGTGTCAGAGAGTGTGCCAAGAGAATGGGAATGCACTGGGCGCATCGGCGGGCATGCTTTCTCCTGGGGAGACTATGTGCCAGGAAGCTAAAGTTCTCACAGGCATGTTTTTGTTTTTTTTTTCATTTGCATTTACCATAAGTGTGCTTTGTAGGCTGTATGATTACATACTTTAGTGTTTTCTAAACAGAGATTTCAAGGCAAGTTAGCCTGTAACAAGACACCACACATGACCATTTACATAATATTGTAATAATAATAATGATGCTTTTTGCAGTGTGGAGAGAGATAAAATGAAGTGCACAAATTATTTGTCGCACCTTTTAAATGAAAATAGGTTTGAAACACCGAATTTTGCTGCAGTTTTACTTGGTGGAACATATTTGTTTTCGATCTACACCAGTGTACAATCTTTTCTCCCCAGGCACGTGTATACTACGAGGAAGCTCTGAGCGTCAGTGTCGACAGCTTCTCTGATGTTCAGCTCCTGGTTGCCCTCTTCACAAACCTCACTGCTATTTACCTGAAGCAACGCATGACTGACAAGCTGCCCCAGACTCTGGAGAAGGCCAGCGCCCTGCTCCTATGCCTCCCCTGTCGTTCCTTCACATCGACCGATGAAGTCGAACTGCTCAAGGTGCTCCTGAGGAGATCGGTGGTGATGGTGGACAAGCACCTGGAGGCTCGTATCTGCTACCTCATGTCCACCCTCTTCCTGCTACTCAAGAAGAGCGATGACGCTCTTCCTTTTGTCGAGCGGCTCCAGTTTCTTTCGCTGACTCTGTCTGCCGCCGACGGGCAACCGATAGCTCCTTTGGATCTCAACTGGCTCCTCAGCTGGCTCTATCACTGCAAATACATGCCTTACTTAGCACTTGCCTCGCTGAGCCTGGATTCGAGACAGGACCACACTCTCTACAATGTCTTTCAGAGGATTGAATTATTTATCAGGAACTCTGTTCGTTTGAACCCCTGCTGGAAGGAAGGAACCTCACTGCTCCCTGCTCAGATCGTAGTTTACCTGCAGCAGACTCTGGCAATAGCCGAGCGCGGGGATGACATGAAGATCCAAAGGGACCTGTGTTTGGGCTTGGCCTCAGTTTACCAGCAGTACGGCGCTCTTGATAAAGCACTGCACTGTGCTCAACGAGCTGTGGAGAAAGGAGGCCACATCAATGAGGAGGAGGGATTTGAGGCATCTGTGTTGCTTGGGTGGTTGCTGGTGTTGACAGGCCAGGCTGAGAAGGCCCAGAGTGTTCTACAACCACTGCTCACATCACTACAGGTACAGTGACCAGTGATGAACTGGTGAAGAATGACACACTCGCAGTGAATAATGTCTAAACAAACATGAATGTCATGGGTAATACGTGCCTTCGCATCTTTCTGCAGGGAACAGACAGTCCCACTCAGCGAGGTGTGATCCATAACCTGCTGGCTTTGTGTCTGAGGCGTCAGGGTCGCATCCCAGAGGCAGGATGGCACCTCCACTCTGCCTTGGTAATCTCCAGAGAAAATGGAAACCAAAGGAATCAGGCCCTGGCACTTGCCAACCTGGGGTGTCTGGCACTGGACGCGGGGGCGTCTTTGATTGCAGAACGCTTCCTGGTCAGGTCAGATCTTTGACATTTTTTGAAAAATCTGCCACAGTTAAGTTTTGACAGATCAAACAAATCTAGCGTCTATAGGATTATTTAGTTTTGATATAATCTTATTTTCTCTTTATTTTAGATCCATGTGCCTTTTTTGGGATCTCTGGGAAAGCCCGACAGATGAGGAGCACGTTCAAACCTACCTGTGGCTGGGGCGTAGCTACAAAGACAGGGGGCGGAGTCAGGACATCAGGGCATGCTATGAAATTGGGTTACTAATTGCACTACATGCCAAAAACCTGCACAGTAAGTACAAGTTCATCCATGAAACTTGCTGTAATGTACCTCCACTGAAAATGGCACCTTCAAGCATGCATTTAGGTTCATGTATTCGTGCACACTAACTACTAACTGCATGTAAACAGAGGACTTTGTATTAAAATTCAAGCAGGTATGACCAGTATGATTAGCTGGTTATGTTGATCTGAATTTTTCATAGGTCAGATGGTGGTGGCCAAGGTGCTGAGCCGACTGTATGCTGACATGCTGCTTTATGGTCAGAGCATTGTCTACTATGAGCACTGTGTGTCAGTGTCCAGAGAACTGAAGGATAAGAGACTGGAGGGGGAGTATCTGGAAAAGCTCAGTAGCCTCTACCTCACACTCAACGATGAGAGGTGAAGATTTGCGTCTCATTTCTATGATTCTGTCTCTATCTGTAACCTAACATTTGTGTCTTAGATTTTATGGTTTTTAATCGTGCATTCTGTGCAGGTCATCTCGTAAATCTCTCGACTACACCAAACAAAGCTTGAGAATTTCTATCGATCTGGGAAAGAAGGAGGAAGAGTCTGAGACCTGGCTACAGGTCGGACGCATTTATTATCTCGTTTATGAGGATGAGTTGGCTGACATGTATTTACAGGTGAGGAGTGTTGGTGTGTGTACAGTAGTAGAGGGAACTTTTTCCTTTCAGTGCCTTTTGTTGTTTCATAAATCTGGTATTCCTGGAATGTCGATATTCCACATTCCTGAGCAGCAAACAGTTCCCTTACTAAGCAGTTAATGTTTTTACTTATGAAGTATAAAATAAAATAAGATCAAATGACAACATTTGATTACTTGTGTCTTGTCGTATTTGTTTTGTTTGCTTGTTTGTTTTTCAGGCAGCAGTAAAGACAGCCTTAAGGATGAATGACCCTCACTTTGCCATGAGCATCTATGAGGAGGCAGGAGATGTTTACTTTAAAGGTCACAGGAACCGGATGGCTTCACTGCCGTTCTACAGGGTAAAAGGATACTTCAAGTGTACTGGGGGTTTTTTTGGGTTTTTTTGTTTTTTTCAATAACAAACTGTAGAAAGTTTGGATTCTCAGTAAAATTACTTATATTTGCTTTCAGGATGGGAGTCTGCCGTTTGCGAGGAGCATCGATGACATCCACTCAGAGTTTCGATTGTTAAGTAAACTCACAGACCTGCTGATAAATGAAAAGGAGCACGAGGAGGCTCTGCAGTACGCAACACTGGCTGTCCAGGTCGCCAGCAAAACAGGTACAAAGTTGAGCCGTGCCTGAGCCTCATGTCTGTAATAATCCTCTCAATCCAGGTACAGTGTGGTATTTGTACTTGGCAAGATACTTTATAAAAAAACATTGACTTTTTTTTGCTTTAGGAGTGAGTGTGAATGAGAGGAGTGCTTACCATCGATTAGCTACAATTTACTACAGTCTGGAGCAGTATGAGATGGCAGAAAACTACTACCTGAAGTCGCTGTCACTGAGTCCGCCTGTCCTACAGCACCCCATGGAGGCTCGCTACTACACCAAGGTCTACTGCAGGCTGGGAAACTTCACTCTACACAAACTCAAGGTACAAGGGACACAGTTACAGTGTTGCATTGGGAAAGATAGAGAGAGCACATTCCTAAAATGATCCTGTGTGGGGAAGCGACCGCACCGCCCCTTATTTTCTCCCTCATCTCGCTGAAGTCAGCGTTCTCAGAAAGAAATGGAAAAAATCATCCCAGAAAGGAAAATATAATAAGAGTGTGTTCTGACTCAGGCATATTTAATATTACTCTGTTAAGAGAAACACACACGCTCACACTGTAATTTGTTTTACACTTTAACCAATGATTTAGTGGCAGTATTAAAAATCTGCTTGTTTTTCTGTATTAAAAATAACTTTCGAGAAGTTACTTCTTCTGTTGGCGATGATCGATTTCACTGTCCAAAGCTGATGGCAAATGTAAGCTTTATCTTTCTATATGTCAAAATGACCTGCTCATGTTTTAATCATTGGCTGAGAAACAGTATCGCTTTCAGGTTCATCTCGTGGCGATGTAACCTTCAAATGTGGAAATTATGTGTTTGATTTTGACAAGACCAGCTCTGACCTCTGTTCTGCGTGCTCGCTCTACAGGATGCTTTTGATGCAGTGGGCTACTTCCAGCTGGCTCTGGCAGCAGCACTTGAGGACCAAGCTAACCCTGAGGCTCTGTATGTGGTGTACATGAAGCTGGCCGAGATCCATGGCAACCACATGCCCGATGCTGAGCTGTGCCAAGTTTACAGAGACAGAGCCCAGAGTCTGAAGAGAGTTTTGGCTGGATTGGAAGGCACTGCTGTTGGACAGGAAAACAAAGATGATGCAGATAGAGAGGCCGTCCAAAATATGGAAAGGAACTTGGATGCTGACGTGGGATATACAGAAAATTTGGTTAAGTCGAGCTCCTCTTTTTATTCTATACCTGAAAGTGTGACGAGTGAAGATGACTTGGCTCCAAGAACTCGTAGGATGCACGTGAAATCAGACAACAGATGCACAGACGCTAATCTTAGATTAGGTGCTAATGGGAAAACCTACCATAACTATCTTCCTGACTCAGTGGATGTGTCTGGCTCTGAGACAGATACCATCGCCAGTCAGTCGTACACTGAGAGCATTTTCACGGAGTCCTTCGATACAGCCAAGGAGGACATGTCAGACTCCAGCAGCTCTACTGACACTCTACAAACTCACCTGAAGCCACCTGAACATAACATTCCCACTCAAATACCTGTTAATCGCACAAGTGATGTCACAGGAGACGCACAGTCCAAAGACGCTGATTCTGATACTCAGGATGACGAAAACACCCTCACTAATGAGACTCCAGCTCAAACAGAGCCTGGTACTGACCAGCGTGTTGTTATAAACAATGATGAAGCTCTAAGAGAGGGCAAAGAGAGAAATGGTTGTGAGACTGGTGGCGCTCACGGTTAACACGCTGACGGAGGCACATAGTCTTTCTCCCTTTACGGATCTTGCCGGCTTTTGCTTCATCAGGTCACATGTGTCTTGGCAGGGAAAAAGCCACAGGGCACAAACCCAATACTGTAAATCTATGAGACAATTCGCTGATTTAGAGCATGTTCGTTCTGTCTTATGCAATCACAGGGCACTGTGCTTGCAATATATGTTTTGTACATTTTTGTATCTCTGGAAGATATGACACAAACATAAAAAAAAGTGTTATTTTCTTTGCTGAGTGTTGATTTTTATGTGGTTGCCCAATCAAATAAGAGAGGAATATGCAGAGTATGTGCATGTTTCCATAAGGAAGAACAGATATAAAACATGAATAATAATTACTGCTCATTTATACTACCAGCTGTTACTGCTATAATGGTTGGTAGTATTAATGATTCTTTGTGGTAGCATTTCATGGGCAGTGCCACACATTCCAGTATATGCATACATATATATAGTTAGGTTTCCTAGAAACCATTTCAAAACAAAGTTAAGTGTGATATGCTGTAAATGTAGAGGAAGTTTTAAACATAAGCAGAAGTATGTCTGAGTTCTTTAAATACAAGGTTAGATAAAAATCATTTGCATACAGGTGACACGTGCGTTATTCAGCAGCTTACTTTCCTTAATGGAAGGTACAAAACCAACCTGATGTCAGAAAGAAATCACAATGTTCCAGGTGAGATTTTATGCCTGAAACCAGGCAAAAAGAGGACAGAAGAGTAAATGGTGTGAGAAAGTGATCCCGAATGCTCTGCAGCTTCCCTGCAGTGTATTCCAGTATATTTTGTCCCTGTGGCTTTGTTTCTTATTTGTGTTTTGGTTGATAGAAAGACCACCATAAACTGATGCAGACTAGGCACAATTTGGTGAGGAAATTGTGAAAATATGAAGGTTCTGATGCTCCCTGTGTTGAAATTGACCTTATTCCTGTTGTGTTTATTGTTATAATGGAAATGCAAAAGAAGGAATGAAAGAGAAAATGGTGCATTTGTTTACCATAATGTTGTCTTCATTGGGTTTATGTCACAGTGCTCAAGTAAGTTTCTGTTTTTTGACAACCGTGAAGTGCTCTTAGATGGCAAAGAGCATGCTCACAGCAGCTCACTTGATCAGTTAAGTCTCGAGCAGGCCAGTTTGATTGAGATTTAGCAATGGCAGGAGGAATGGATCCAAGTGACCTCAGCGTTTCAGGAGGGATCTTGGCCACAAATGCTTTTCGACAGAGTAGTGTGTCTTTGAAAACTGTGATCTTAAAAAACGTTTTAATTTAAACCTGTAGGAGTAGTAGATGGTTAAAGAACTGGTTTTAATATAGCGGTTTTCTGCTGGAGCACTCAAAGCACTTTATGCAACATGTCTATCTAACAATGACATTCCTATGAACGCATCTAGAGCAACTTGAGGTTCAGTATCTTGCCAATGATACTTTGGCATGTAGACTGGAGCAGCCAGGGATCGAACCACCAACCTTCCAATTAGCGGGTGAGCTGCTCTGCCTCCTGAGCCGGAGGCACGAACTGTATATCGCATTAATGCGACATAAAAGGAAAAGAGAATATCTTCCTCGGGTGACTAAGAAGGTGAAGAATGGATTCAGACTGTAAGCAAGAACATCCATAAGCAGAAGAAGCAGATGGATAACGTCATCTGGTTGGGCTGCATAAAGCCATCATAACAAAGATGAATGCACATTTGAGAGTTCAGCTGTGCAAAAGCCATTGATACTCGTCAACAGTGCCTTGTCACCTCACAAGAAAGCTCCTATTTTGCCTTTCTGCGTGGTTTGTATGTTCTCCCTGTGCCTGTGTGTCTTTCTGGATGGATAAAAGGAATGGATGCATAAAACCCATCCATATTTCATTGACATTCTTAGTCCAGAGACATGGATGTTAGGCTAACCAGTGATTATCATTCTGAATTAGAATGAATGTGGTGTGAATGAAGGCTGTGTACAGTATAATTTCCCTTAAATGTGATTTGTAATCAAAGTGCTCTGAATGGTCAGTAAGACCAGAAAACAGAGTGCATTAAATTGTAAAGGTCCATATATTTGTTATAATATAAATGATATAAGAATAGGTTTTGTATTAATCAGCTGAAACTTTAGTCAGCAAATTAAAAAATAAAGCACCTGATCATAATCAAGTATTTATTTATATAATGCACAAGTTTCCATTTGGTGAAGTACAAATAAAAAAAAATAATTCAAAGTAAATATTAAAAGTCACTAATAAAGTTGTCTTTACATCAATCCTGAGCTATCCGATTTACAGTGAAAGCCTTCCTGATACTGATATTTTTTTTTATTATTGCTTATTTTTGCCAATGCTGGGAAGTGACCTGTTCTGTACCAGCTGAATTACAAATACAGGGACGGCAGAAAAGAGAGCACAATAGAAATAAACTTTCCACCAAATGCCTGGAAACCACAAATCCAGGGTGAGCATAATGAAAAGTGTCTTTTCAGTCCTTTTACAAGCTTATTGGAATCCACTGATTGGGAAATACTATATTTACTAATTACATCAAGCCTAGTCAAATAAATGTTGTTTCACAAGGGACATCACAGGAAACAGAAGTCTAAAATACACCCACAAAAGAGATTTCATTTCAAGTAGTTTGGTACTTCCCAGAGTGTGTTAATATAAACGGTGATGAAGATCTAAGTGAACAATGTTGGTGCCACACAGAGTGAACATGCACACTACACACAGTCTCTTAGCGGCACTCATATTTCTTTCATTTCCCCAAGTGTGTCTTTGCAAGAAAATTGACTCTAATGTTAGGAGCACATGGCGCTTATTGTGCAACTGTGATGTCATTACCGTAAATCTGTCATATTAAGTCAATTCAAACCATGTGCATTTCTAAATACTGCATTTATCACCAAATGTCAAAACAGAACATTTGATCTTATTTCATTTGATTATTTTTAATATGCTTATTCTTAATTTGATGGCAGCAAGAAAGAGGCAGAGGCATGTTTCCCACTTGCATCACCACTTGTTCAGTTTTGAAAGCCAAGTGTTTTCCATTTTGTCTTTTTAGTGGATGACAGGCCACTTTAGTACATCAACTGTTTTTGTGGTTTGGCATTGACTTTCTGATATAAGGAAAGCGTGCTCTTAAAAAGAGGCCGCCAATGGCAGCATTCTATGTTGTTCAGAAACCTGAATATGTCCTTCAGCAATATAAAGACTTTGAGAGATGTGCAAGTCACCCATGCTATGTGCACGAACACACTTTCACTCATGAAACTCATGCCTAAGATCAATTAGGACGAGTTGTGTTCATTCATCTGCCATCTGTGTTTGAGCTACTACTGCACAACTCAGTTCTGTTGTTATCATATTCATTTTCTTGCCCACCTCTGTTGCACATCCTTTAAATCTCACTGCTTTTCTGTCATTCTGCCTGTTACACTCTCATTTGTCCAATCCATCTCCTCCTGACCACCACCAGCATCTAGACTCAAGGAGAACCTTCCTACTTCCTAACATTGTTTCACTCTACTCTGATATGGAGCTTCACTGGAGTCTACTTACCAGATCTGTATCTGTATTTCAGTAAATCTTCCTTAAAATGAGCTGATGACCGGCTGGATGGTGCTGGTCCACAGTGTGATCCAATAATAAGGTCACAAGAGTTTTCCTCCTCCAAGCTCTAGAGTTCTAAGACACTATTTCAGCCATTCACAATTGGTTAGCCGTGATTACTGGTAGTATACAAAGATTTTTTGATATTCTCTGAATCCTTTAATCACATTGTGCTCCTGAGATGATGAAATCCAGAAATCTGTAGCAGTTTTGAACAATATTCTTCATTTGTTTAATGTTTCACTGCCAATCTTTCACACAAGCCTGAACCGTTAGCTGACTTGAGACTGCTAAGACTTTACTAAGTTATCACATTAGCCATGAGATGTGAGAAGAAGTGTTTCCACTATTTGTTTATTTTTAATATTTGACAACTTTTCATTGCAAATGTGAAAAAAAATGAAAAGAAAGTGTGGTCGTATTTTCAAAGACAAATCAGATTGATCATTTTCAGATTTTTGTGTCATTTTTTCCTCTCTCTAAATATTTATCATATGACAATGAGTACTGAGCAAAGACTAAGCACTAATATTTTATGTAACAGAGTTCTGTTGTACCTTAAGCTCATTTAGAGGGAAGCAAAAAAATCATGCTGTAATTATACAGTATTATTAGGGGACCAGGTAGACTTCAGTTTGCAGTGTGACTATGGTTGACCTCCTCTCCACTGACCACAGTGCTCTCTGGGCTAAAATGCATTATTTGGAGAACTATAAAAAGGCGGGAGTCTAAGCAAGCAGATATCTCTGTTTTTCTATTTCTGCTTTCAAAAGTTCCTTTTTAAATATACATCATAACTTATAAAAGCTTTTTTTTTTTTAATGATGGAGGGTTTTTGTAAATTTGGCACTTCTTAAACAGCTCCACAAGAGGGCACTCTCTTACTGATTTACTATTTGGCTGTACAGTAAAAACCATCAGCATGGTGTTCCCATCTTCAGCCAGAGGTGGGCAGTGAAAGACAACGCTTAGCTTCATGATAGTTTTTTTTTTCATCAGCAGCCTTACAACAGGTAGAATAGGAGAGAAGAGGAGAAAGAATATCTCCATCAATCTTCTTGGTAATGACAGCAAACCACGGGGAGCATAATGTAAAGTGTCCTCTATGTCACATTTATGGCTTCAGTTCACATACAGTGAATGTCCTGTAATGACCTTTATGTCCCAGAGCCCTGAAATGAACAGTGAGAAGGAAGATTTGAACTAACACAGACAATAATAATGGGTGATTTTTTTTTATAGGTACATATAGTGCTGCTTGACTGTAGCCATACTTTTGTGGAGACTTTTGTGCTCTGGATTTCTCTGATTAGATCACTAACATATTAACTACCCTGCATTTCACTGGCAAATATCAGAGAGTTCAAACAAGGGCAAACAAAGAAACGGCTAACGACTGGATTGTTGCAGGACAACGAGGAAAAGGAAGAAATGTTTGCATACATAATCTGCATGGTAAATAATATTGCAAGGTTTCCTTCCCCCCACAAGCATGAGTTTAGCACAAGTTCAAAACAAGAACAGCTGTGCCAAAACAAGCACTGAATTGTTCTTCCTTTTTAAGTATTCCCAGGGTTACATTCAAGCAATCTTTAGGGACTTATAATTAACAAGTTTACACTCTACGCTCCACCTAATACTCATGTGAAATTATAAGAGCTCATTAGGATCAAAAAAAGAAAACCACAAGAGGCTTTATCTAAGAACTTTGATGCAGCGCATGTTCCCTCTAAACCGAGTCGTTTTTATAGTAAAGAAGTACAACCCTGTTCCCAAAAACGCTAAGATGCTTTGTAAATAAAAGCAGTATGCAAAAATGATCTCTCTATATATCACAATATATGTAAGGCTTATAAGCATTTTCTTTTAGCAACAGATAATTAATGTTAACCAGCTTATAATGACAAGTGACTTCATGAATAGCCTCTTTCATAAATCAGATTTAATGAATTACTTACGGCCTCCTGCTTAAAGTGATTCCCACTAGCCTTCTGCCCCTAGATAACATTCCCAGATTGAGAAATAACAGTTAAAATAAAAATGTTGAAATCCATGTTGCTGTCCGCTGTCAGTGACCTGTAACCGCTCACAATAGCATAAACAAGGAAATCAACAGTTATTTCAGCTACGCAGCATATTTATGTTGCTCACCTGTGACACACAACTCTCTACGACTCACACACACACACACACACACACACACACACACACACACACACACACACACACACACACACACCATATTAGTTTTAGTGGTCATGAGACTGGAGTCAATATGTGTGTTTTTGGTTGTTCCCCTTTCTCGCACCTTGTTTCAGTTTTTACTTTGTGTCTCATTTCCCTCATGCTTCCTATCCCCAATCAGTCCCTGTGTATAGTCCTTGGTGTCTACACATCAATCTCAAGCTCTTCCTATTACTTGGTACTGCTCTTTTTAAAAAGTTTTTGCCATATTAAAGGCTACTATTTGTTCCCTTTGTGTGCCGTGTGCCCTGCAATATGTCCTCTCATCACACTCCATAAAGATCGTTGTCATGTGATAATTGTTTAAGTATGTATAATTAGTTTTAGCCATTATTTTTGTCATTATTCTTATATATTGTAATATCATTAAAAACCCAACTGCAGACAAATAAGCAGTGTCTAGAAGTCCTGTGTACAAAACATACTATAATAAATACAAATATAATGAACATGGCTTGATGCCGTGATTCTTGTTCAATAAACTACTACGAAAACAAACAAAAGCTAGCCAGCGTCATTCACTTTGTGAGTCTAGCAAAGCACAAATGAGGTGTGATCAAAACACTTGGAGAACAGGTCTATAAAAATCAGAAACCTTATGTTTTGAATTTATCCAGCTCATGTTTAGGTATTTTTCACAGTATTCAGACAGGTTCCCACACAGCTGCTCCCCCCCCCTTTTTTTTTTCTTTTCAGCTGCTTTCTGAAAGCCCCAGTTTTCAACACATTCCAAGCCCCGAGGCAGCGCTAAAGGTGAGGAGCAACAGCAAAGAGAATGCGCGTCAATTTTCTAAACCTCAGCAGCGCGCTACAGAAATGAAGCGTTTTACTGTACAGCCCTGAGGATTCTCAGGAAGAACACACACACACACACACACACACACACACACACACACACACACACACACCTAAGCATCCTAGACCACTGACCAATCTTGGCTCCCAACAACTCCTTTTCCTGAAAATGAAAATGACCTTCAAAGCATATTCAAATAAGCTACCATTTGATTTTACAGACCTGTTGTTGTAGCCTTGTAATATAGTTACTGCCCCACTACAGATAATAGGCTCATTGTCCTGTTCAGGTCCTGTAAGAACTTTGATGCAGCACATTATCTCCCTCTAAACTTATCCGAGTAGTTTTTATAATAAAGAAGTACAACCTGTTCCCAAAAACACTGAGATGCTTTGTAAATAAATACAGCATGTAAAAAATTTGCAAATATTTTAAATGCTGTATTAAATATGCAACACACATAACTGATAAGACAACATGTCAAATAAAGAAAATATTTCTCCCATGTAGTGCTTTACATATATTTGTTGTATTTTGAATAATGCACAAATATTTTAGGTGAATGACAGATGGGACTGAAAGTAGGCCAGTTTAGGACCCAGACTCTTTGACTGC